AGACTGTATTTTTGTATACAATATCCTTCATAACCTCTAATTGGAGTTCCCCTTGCAGCAAGGTAAGCTGCGTTCATACTTTAAGACTCGGAAAAACTGGCAATTTTATTGAATACCGGGAACATGAAGTGTTGGTATCGATCTGGCATTCCGAGAGAAACGGAAGTTAAAGCAAAAGGAAAGTGTGGGTATTAAAAGGCGTACCGGAACGCCTTTTTTTTTCAAAACGCCAGAATGGTACTTCAACTTCCTTTTCACTCAAAACGCCGATTCCTGCGAGTCGCAAAGCATGAACGCAGCCCAAGCTCCGCACTTTAGCGCGTTTATGCAACATCTCGGTGTTCTCTTCTTTTTAGTGAGACTCTGACTATTCTATTAGGTTGTCCGGAAAGTTCTCAGCGTTTTGGGTGTTTCACTTTAAACGATCGTAACTTTTTTAATACTCATCGGATTTAATCGAAATAGGCACCATTCGAATCAGCACACTTTTGCCAATGTGACAGCAGTCGAGAAATCCCATCACGTCAAAACTGGGTGGTCGAAAATTCACGAAATTCCACTAAGGCTTTTTTGCCTGGTCCTGATTGATGAAGTATTTTCCAGCAAGGGAGTTCTGAAAATGTTAGAAAAGGTGATAGTCGGTTGGCGAAAGGTCTGAAGAATATGGCGGTTGAGGTAGAACTTCAACCCCCAATTCGTTCAATTTATGGATAGTGATTTGTGAAACGTGTGGGCGGGCGTTGTCATGCAAAGGAATCGGACCCTTTCTTTTGATAAGTGTTGGCTGCATCTGACAAAATTTCGGTACAATTCGTCGATTCTTAGTACAGTCACGCGTGTCTGTCTATGTGTCTCTGTACCAAAAAGACAGTGATATAGTGGTGAGGGTCAAGGCAGCGCCAGCCGATGACGCCACGTCACCATGTGGACCAGAGGATTGCGTTTGCGTGAGGGTCTGACGGCGTTCGAGAAAATTAGCCGTCGATTGTTCGTCGAAATCCAACCACTGTCCGGCAATGTCTCGCCTTTATCATACCTGAGCCCAATTTTTCATGCACAAGGGTGACGGAACTCGGTCCAAAAACAGGCTTCTGCTCCGCAAAAAGCAAGCAGAAGGAACCTCGACGACGTGCCGCATTCTGCCGTCACTCCGATGTGCACCCCAATGTCGAGTTTTTTTTTCACCTTCCCAATGCGTTCCAGACCATCTGCAACAGTGGATTTGCCAAGGCCTAGCTCTTCTGCTATCTCTCGAACTGTTTGGGATGGGTCAGCCTCCAAAATCCCCCATAACTACTTGCTTAGGTCGACCGCTATGAGGTTCATCTTCAAGGCTGAAATCTCCAGAACGAAATTTGTTGAGCCATTGCCGCACAGTGCTTTCTCTAGCACTATTGGGCCCCACACCTGGTTAATTTGTTGAGCTGTTTCGATTGCGGATTGCCCCAATTTATAGTCGAAGAAAAAAATCGTCCGAAGTTGTTCTTTTATGCGATGGCTTGAAAAATCTTGAAAAAGGGGTTTATCAAGCAATGGTGAAACGGCAATTATACCATCAGATAGCGCAAGAAATTCTCTACAGGATGTGCTACTGAGAAGCAGGCAGAATGAGTTTTTAATCAGCAGTGAATGTACAAAAAATAGGTGCACAAAACGCTGAGAACTTTCCGGACAACCTAATATTATCCAAGGAGACAAAAGAATCATGACATACAGTTCAATATAATGGTGAAAACTCATTTTCCAGACATAGAGGAGCTATAAGAAATCAAACGAGTTCATGGTAAGACTTACGAAACAAACCTTGGCGTTTACATATTGTTGATAAGCATGCGAGTTTTGATAGGCCTTGAAAGCTTTCTCATTATTCGACCATATGGAATTCGATAGCATAAATAAAAGAAAACCGTAAACAAAACGATTGAACGAACCATGGGAATGGTTAATAAATCGGAAATGGTTAATGCAGGAAAAACTCGCCTTTTCAATTTCATACTCGTGCTGATAAACAGCTTTGTCCGAATCCGGAATATCCCTCCACATTTGGCCGATGATCTTACCGATGTCCCAAAGTTGTGCTTCAGGATTTTCAGCACGAACCTGTACAGGTCCATGATCATAGTGGAATGTAGCATATCACGAACTTGATAATAACGATCATATTAAAAAAAAAATTGCCAATTGCTCTCGCAAATATCCCTTTTTCAAAGTTTCATATGAACTACATACCTTTGACCACATCTTGCGGCTATATCGCATATAGGGGACCAGTGGCCGATCAGGTGGCTTCGGAGCTTTCATGGCATAATCCGCTTGAGTCTGAAATATGTCCTTTTATGAAAAAAGCCGCAATTCGGCGGGACAAAGGGTTGCCCCTTTTCGCCTGCCTCACTAGCTCCGGTTTACAAGTCATTTCGTGACTTCACAAGATTTCACAGGTCTCCACGCCAGGCTCGACACGTCGAAGGGAAGTAGCAAGAGAGTAGAATGCTCCCCTGCCCCCTTCCCCAGTCGCCGAATCCCTGCAAACAACTACAATAACAATTGCAAAGAGATTTACTTCTGATTTATCTCCCATTCGAACGTTTCCATTAGACAAGATGCTCAAAACTATGTGAAAGCGTGCATACTTGCGAATCGGCGTTTTGGGAGATCCAGAGTTTGGCGCGCATCGGCCTTTTAAGCGAAAAGGAAAGTATGAGTATCGATCATGCGCCTCTGGGAGAATCAGCGTTGGTCGAGCGATCAGCACTGTAGCGAAAGCAGCGATCATTCGCCCTAGAGAGAGCGAGTGAGGGTGACATCCGGGGTGGCCATTCGTACCGTACACATTATTCATTGCCGCTCAAGACCGTTGAGTTACTGCGAGGTCGAAATGCAAAGATATCTATTACCTCTTCTATCATCCATGATCTTATTTAGTATTATATCACGAACACCACCTCCACTTTCAACGTCGTGGAGCCAGCTTGATGTCGCCATTTCAAACCATTTTCCATTATTAGCTTTCCAGCATAAAATATTCAGTGCTCTGGTCACGGATATTTGAATTGTGATCAGAGCACTGAGTATACTTGACGCCCGCGTTAAACGAGAATGGCATTATTGTGATAACGGCCTTCACACCCCCTTCTCCTCCCCCTCCCTTTCCCATATGCAAATCCATAAGGACTTTGGTGTGAACAGCCAAAAAGAAGGTTACGTTCATGATTGTTCCTGACCCCTAGACCGCGTTCAGACATCGCGATCGGGTCGCTCGAGCGCCTTTGTTCTGATACGAAAGGAGGAAAAAATCCACACTAACCCTTGACGGTGTCGACTGTGGATGGCGAAATGATGACATTTTACCTGAAAGACTAACAGCACCTTGTAATGGCTCAAAATTGTAATCGAATTCCACGAAAGGAAGACATGAAAGTTCTTCTAATGATAGGAGGAAAAGGATCTACCCAATGTAAGCAACGGTTATTTACTTTTCTTTTAATAAGCTGTTTAACCCACAGTTCGCACTAGAATAGCGGAATTAAACTCGTTCGTTACTGCGTTACACCCATGGTGTGTCATGCATTTATCTCTGAGCACCGTTTCTTGTGGTTTATTCTATTTTATGATATAGGATTATCGGACTACGTTTCGGAAACAATACATATATCGCCCCGTATAAGGCGCCTTTTTGCCTGGAGCGCTGCCAATACTATTTTTTCATTCCCCTGCTCATATGGCCCCGTTCAAACGAAACAACTATGAAGACTTGATTTGGGAGAAAATCAAAAAAAATACGTATTCAATGTTATTCTTCTGAAAAACATGGAGGGCAGGGAAAACGATTGATCTCTATCGAATCTTTTTCTTCAATACCACCAATTCAATACCATAACCGATCTCCGATTTATCAGATTCGGTGGAGTCGCTGAAGCAGCACGCTGACTGCCGAGGGTACAACCATGGAGATCCCAAGCGAGTGAGATCGTATTTGGTCGCTGGAGACGGAGGAGGAGGGTCGTACTTGTCTTTGTGAAAAAGTTCTCGATTACTGACTATTCTCCGTTCTCCCATTTTGAGTGCGTTATACCCCCCCCAAACCCCCTGTCGACAAAAGTTTTTAGGAAAAAAACTCGCGAAAGATATGACATTGCGAAATTTAGGAAGAGGTAGGTAGGATGGGGTGGGGGAAAGAAATCGTATCACAGGAGGAATCTTTGAAGGGGCACATTTTGTAAAAATATTCCCAAGGGCAGGATGTCCCCTGGTTAATTTCCTCAACGTGCTGCTGTTGACACTTTGTAGAAAGCATCGAAAGCATCGCTGCTGTAATAAGCCCCCACACAATGACATTTTGCCTGCATAAAACGATATTTTATGAGAAAACATTGGGATATCCTTGCAAAATGTGAAATGAATGAAAGAAAAGGACGAGAACAAAATAATGTTACACTTGCCCTTTCGAATATTTTTAACCAAACGTATAGCGTACTTTACAACCTCTTTCCCGGAGAATTCCTTCACAAGAGTAAAACAAAAACCTATCTCAGTAGCCAAAATCCAACAACATCTACTATCTATCAATGAACTGAAAAGTTTATTTTCAAAAACCGTCCTCAGACGAAAGGTTAGTATCGAGCCCGCTTAACCTTTGATGGGTGAATGAGATCTGAATACACGCAAAAAGTCCTTAAGTCCATCTCAAACAAAAGAAACATCAAACTCAACAGAATGCATGGAATTATGGGAAAATTTTTAAAGAAAACTCGTCAAAGCATCAAGAGAACACTGACGCGCCGCACCCCCTTCGCGGCGCGGTTGGCTTCGGAGCACGTAATATTTCAATTGATCTTGTACAAAAATATCAAGGTTTCTTGTCGCAGAATGGTGCTTTTGATGAGCGTATTTATTTATTTATTTTCTCCATAAAGGAACAATGGTGTGAGACCACCCGGTGGCGCCTCTGTGTGTCTCCAAGTATAAGTTTTTCCCATGTAGTGAATTTGTCATGAGAACTAAATATTTGAAGACTGTAAGGAAGGATTGCAGTGATGGTCTCATCACCTTTTATAGGTGAAGGAGCTAAATGTTTGGCTCAGCTGCAGTTGATGGGGGCCACGTGGCGGTGCGACGATTTCTGCGCGAGCACGCTCTTCGAGACGAGGCCGCGTGCGTGTTCTGGTCATCTGCGCTCCAGTATGCCTATGCCTGAGGTAGCGTTCAAACTTCGCGACGGCAGCGCTTCGGTTGCGCGATTCGACGCGATCGATGCGCATGCTTTCGACTGCATCGATCGCGTCGAACGCGCGACCGAAGCGCTGCTGTCGCGAAGTCTGAACTCTGCCTGACAGAGAACGGTCTTCTCATCGCGTCTGGCCTTCAGCAAGTAGAAGTGTTTGGTGAGACTATGAGCGCTAAATGTCGCATCTCATACTCTCACCAGAATGAGCCATGCATGCGGCTTCTACAGAAGATCGTATAGGTGTTGAAACGCGTGTTGATCGGGTTCAACCACATGAGATGGTCAGCCACGAGTGCAATCTGGCCTATATGCTTCTGAACAAATTTCTTCCCAACAGAAGTCACAGTTTGTTCCGCTGAGGAAGAAGGGGCGTGTCACGAATGATAGATTTGGCGCGGCACCAGGTACGTTTTCCAGCAGTTGCTGAAGCGAGCAAACGAGAAGACTGTTTCATATCGTTTCTATCAATCGATTTCTGCTATCACTTACCCGCCTCAACAGCCATTACAGAAGGGGTTTGGCGCTGCGCCATTCCGCAGCGAGCCGGATCATAGGTTGGCCATGGCTCGAGCCTCGTTCATACCTTGTACTGTGGTGGAGTCTCGGAAAATCCGCGAAAACGATTATAGACAAATCGATTCTGCCGACTCCGCCCAAGTGGATAGCCGTTAAATCGCGTCGCAACAGACATGGGAAAACGGTTTTCGCTGCAACGGCTGCCTGATACTGGTGACTGCTGGGGCGTGTAAAAGGGGCTGGAAGTGGCGTGGCGCCAGCCAGTTCCCCAGCAATTTTTGAAGCTGCATGCATAGCAAGCGACAATTGGTGGAAAAACGGGCAAACACCTTGCCAAACCCTACCCTCTGACACGCCCCAGCGTCTGCACGGAAACGACTATAAATGCCGCAGCCAAATCGATGCGCTTCGAAACATTCTCCTCTTCTCCACCGGCCCATTTAAAAATGCCACTGCAACGAGTGTTTTACATTAACACTGATTAGCTTTTATCTAGACTTTGAGGTAAC